TGTTTCCTCTTTCTTGTGGTTCCTCCTATTGGTTCTAATTCTTCCTTACAACATGACTAATGTGATAATATGTTTAATAGGAATGCATATGTAGAGCCTATATCAGATTGCACACTGTCTTGGGGAGGGAGGTGGATAGGGAGGGGGAGAAAAAAATTTTAAACTCAAAAGTTTATGGAAGTGATTGTTGAAAACTGAAAATAAATTAATTTTTAAAAATCTGGCCTCAGACACTGACTGGCTGTGTGACCCTGGTCAAGTCACTTAACTGTGTTTGCCTCAGTTTCCTCACCTGTAAAATGAGCTGGAGAAGGAAATAGCAAAGCACTCCAGTATCTCTGACAAGAAAACCCCAAATGGGGTCATGCACAGTCAGACACATCTGAAAAATGACTGAATAACAACAATAATGATAAATGGTTGCTTCAGTCATGTCTGACTCTTTGTCCATTTTGGAGTTTTCTGGGGAGAGATACTGGAGTGGTTTGCCATTTCCTTCTCCGGATCATTTGACAGAGGAGGTAACTGAGGCAAAGAGAGTCAAGTGACTTGCCCAGAGTCACACAACTAGTAAGTGCTTGAGGCCAGATTTGAACTCAGGTCTTCCTGACTCCAAGCCCAGCACTCTATCCGCTGAGCCACCCAGCTGCCCCTAGATCATGTTTTAAATTAGGGCAACACAACTTCTGCCTTAAAATATAGAGACAATACAAACTTTTTGTACGTGACCTCTGAAACTCAGGTTCTGTGACCAGCATCCTCTAAAACATGTAATCGCAGGATTAATTAAACGCTGAGTACTCCATGGTATAGTGGAAAGAGCCTTAGACTGGATCAAGAGGCTTGGGTTCTAATTTGGATTCTGCCACGGATTCATTATTGGACCTTGGACAGGTCAATCCAACTCTCTGAACCTCAGGTCACTCCTCTATTTGATAGATAGATAGCTGGATAGATGGTAGATAGACAGATAGATAGACAGATAGATAGATAGATAGATAGATAGATAGATAGATAGATAGATAGAGAGAGAGAGAGAGAGATAGATAGATAGATAGATAGATAGATAGAGAGAGAGAGAGAGAGATAGATAGATAGATAGATAGATAGATAGATAGATAGATAGAGAGAGAGAGATAGATAGATAGATAGATAGAGAGAGAGAGAGATAGATAGA